GCTCTTTAACCAAGGCATTGTTAATTCAAGTTAATAAAATCTTGTAATGCTAAATTGCTATTCTAGGACACTACCACTTAGGGTCACATAAAAATGTATCAGTGTATAGATGTAAAACCTATAGCCTCAGGGCTAATAAGAGGAGAATAAAATTATTTTCCACTAAAATCTCTCTACTCTCATTAATTATAATTTGAGCTTTGGCACCTTGCCTTTCATCATGACAATCCATTTCCTAAGCCACTAACATTTGGTTCCAGAGGTCACTTGGTACAACTTAAACATGACATTAAAAGAGGGGCCTTAACTATAATCCCTGCTGTAGCAACAGAAATGACCAAAAAAAGCCAGCCAGCTTTGATTTGTGACGTACATGGGTGAGTTGGTAGCAAGGACAGGATCTGCAATATAGAGACATACAGTACATAGGAGGAGGGAATTACTTCAAGTGATTAGAAACCATTCAGTGCAGGGTGTGCAGCACCTGTGCTACTAAATGTTCCACATTGACTGTTTCTGTTTAGCATCTAAATGTCAGCATAAAATACTTATGTTAGATATTTTACTATTACAGGAAAACCACAGAGTATGGGGAGATCCATGAGCTCACAACAGAAGAACAGTTTGTAGAAGGAATATACAGGGTTGAGTTTGACACCAGCTCTTACTGGAAGGGACTTGGCCTTTCCCCATTCCACGAATATGCTGATGTAAGTATTTGCAAATATACCTTATTAGGTATATTTATATATATACTGTGTAGTGGCATCAGCTGGAAAGAATACAATCCGTTAATACTGAAAGAGCAGTGTAGAATAATAGAATGGGTTGGGTTGGAAGGGACCTTAAAGATCATCTGGTTCCGCCCCCCCTGCCATGGGCAGGGACCCCTCCCACCAGACCAGGTTGCTCAAAGCCCCATCCAGCCTGGCCTTGGATAATTCGGTGAAATGGTTCACTGCCACAAGAGATTGGGTAAATGAAGGCAGCATAAGGCATTTGGCTAAGCCAAAGGAAGTAGCCAGCTTCCCTGCAAACACTCTGCAAACACAGCTCTTCCAAAGTGGAGCTGTGCCCATTCACCCATTCAGAGCAGAAGAGACCTTTGTTCAAAAAGAGCTACGTTGTTCAAAAGCACGTAGTGTTTAAAATACAAACAAAGAAAAAAAAAAAAAAGACTGCTTTTATCATTGTGGAAGGAATATAGGGATTTAAATGTCCTTATTTTAGAGGAAATGAGCAGTTCTTTAATCAGAGGGATTTCCCTCATATCAGTCACCTGGAAATCCATGAATTCTGGTATGACCTGTAATTACAGGATAAAAAGATTCTTTCTAATGTGCCTTTTTGTTGTTGTTGTTGTTGTTGCTGTTAATATTGCTTTGTACTGAAATCAGCAGTAGAAAAAAAAAAAAAAGCTTGAAAATTTAAGGGCTAATCATAATGGGGAAGGAAAAGTAGGCTGTTTCATCAGTACCTAAATTTCATAATCAGGTCAGCAATATAATCATGTCTTGTGCCTCCCTTTGCCCTCAGCCCTACGGTGGTTTATTGTGTGCTCTATTTTATGACATTTACTTAGCATTTCCAAAATTTTTTTTTAAATTTTTCGAGGTTAACCTGCCATTAAATATAAGTTTGCCCAAATTAAGTGGTCTGGAATGACTACAGGTTGCAGTGTAGAACATTTTAAACCACAATTCTATGAAGCTCTGTGGAAGACTAAATCAAATGACTGAGGCCCAGGTACCTAAAAGCTTGAGGTGTGGCTTGGGTCACTTGGGTCAAACAAACAATCCTAATAAAATGTTCCCTAACCATTTGGATGTCTGAAAGTTGCTGGGGCTTACGGAAGGGCTTCACCTCAAAAGCTGCTTAAAAACATCTGGTTGAGACCGTTCCAGCTAGGCTGCTGAGGATGCTTTTCTTTGATGTAATAGCCTACAGGTCAACAAATTACCCTGGGAAGTGGGCAGAGTTCAATGTCTGTCTGTGTACAAGGTAACAGAAGCCTACAGTCCTCGCCTCCCAGCAGCTCAGACTTTGGCAGGACCAGGATGTAGGAGGGAACAAGTCCTCTTGTAGAAAACAATGTCATGGTTAAGAAAATAGATAAATGTTAGGCTAAAGAGAGCCAAAGAAAGCAGGGGCTTAACCCAAGTGGCAACGTTTTCCCGGGAACTGGGTGTCCCAAGTTCCAGGGAGTGATTTAGAGAGCAGCAAATTTGAATTACCTTAGGACAAGGGTCTCTCCCTGTTTTGGGAAGTCTAGCCACTCGGTTCTTAATGCAAGAACTGACCCATCACCAGCTGCGTTAAAAACAGGAGTGAGGCACTGAAGTACAGAAAGCAGCTTTGTGCTCCAACCGCCTACCTTGCTTGGACAACTCACACAGAGGCTGTATTTAAGTTCAGTAGATGGAATTTCACCTCTCTGTCTTTCTTATTGGTTGTTTGAGATACCTCCCCCTCATCCTCCAATTCCACGTCACAAACTAGAAATATGCATGCCTGACTCACTAGGTAGCTCCATGGACCTTCACCACAGCCAAGGGTCTTTGTGGACCTGGGTGCAAACCTCACAAATTTCTCAGTCTTCAAAGAGCACCACAAAATTATGGGGAGCACGACCCTGCAGAAGGGTAAAAATCGTTGACTAAACAGAACTGGCAAAGTAGTCTGCAGAGGAAATGGACTGTGCTTCCTAATTCTTAATAAGGTAGTTTCAAATGTACATTGCGCATCGTGACCACAAGTTTTCTCTTTTCCAGGTGGTGTTCACTGCTAATGATTCTGGTCACCGCCACTATACCATTGCCGCTCTCCTCAGTCCTTTCTCTTACTCAACCACTGCTGTTGTCAGTGATCCCCAGGAATAAATATGTACTGTCATTACCCAAGCACCCTCCTCCACTAGAACTATCGTAGGCTTTTAGGAGGAAGGTTTTTCCTACTGCTAATGCATAACTTTTTGCTACATTAGTTGTTTTTTTCCATTTTGTAACCTGGCAAACTTCAGACAAGTCAATAAAATTTAACTTCTTTAAAACAGTTTGGATTCTATTGGTGAAGTTTTATTGTGTTCTAAGGTGTCATGATTTTCAAATGCAAAGGACATCTGGAAACCATGCATGGTATATGGAAGCAAATTAGCATTTGGTTTGGTTCTGTAATCTTCCTCTATTACCTTAAGTAAGTCTCACCAAATGCATTGGCTCAAAATAAGAAAGTTATAGAGTTGTGATACCTTAACAAATTGACTGAACACATGTACTCAAAAATAAGAAAGCCATCCATGCCACTCAGTTTACACACAAGAGAGACTGTCCCACTATCAGCTAGATCACAGGATAAATAAGAGAAATTCTGTATACCTAGCAGGAGAACAAAGGATGCAGAAAGATTATTGAAATATATATATATATATTTCCAGATAGCTGAAAGAGTTAAAATCTGTGTACCCTTACTTAAAACTTCAGGCAAATCTCAACACCTTGTGGCTTCAAGAGGACAGATTGCTGCTAAATCAATTTCAATTAGCACTGTTTTTAACAACTTTGATGTTTAACCCAGTTGGCTACTATATTCAGGTGCATTCCAATTAAATCTCTAATAAGTCAAATCTCTAGCCATTATTAAAAAAAGTCCTAAAATAGAAGCATCATCTTAATAGTCCTTTCATATTTTTAGAAACAGGAAAAGGTAAGCCACAGAGCGACATGATTCAAACTACGTTGTTGATAAACTGACTGAGGAGTTTGAGGGCTTTAGCTGTGATTTCTGTAGACTGATGGTGTATTGTATTTAAAATATCCTGAAGCAGGGAAATTGTTTAACGGGATTATAGAAACTACAGAGATTGTTACCGAAATAATGCCATTCGGAAACCAGCAGCACTCGTCTGCCACTGACCTTGGAGTTTATCTCTACACCCAGAGCCCGCTGGGATGACCGCACACCAAGAGAATTCACCAGTTACAAAAGGTTGCCTTTAATGTATCACTATTTGGTTACTTTTTTCCCTGATTTCTGGACACTACTGTGGTTACACAACTCTTGTAAGCAGTGCAAATAGTTCCAAATCTTAAAGCATGCATCTTTCATGGGATCTTGCTATGCTGAGAGCTGGAAAACCAGTAAGTTTGATTTGCAGTGGGCTATGCCCAGCCCTTGAAATTGGACATAAATGTGTTCATACAAGTGTAGTCATTAAAGAAACAAAACAAAACAACACGAAAAACTGCTCTGCATGTAGTCACCTACCTGAGGACAGGATTAACCTCGTAAGAGAGTGTAGGCACATGTGTCTAACCAAAATCAGAAAGACAAAAGTTGCATTTCAAAAAGTAACACTTCCCTAAAATGAAAAAGATGCTTCTGGTGGGGTCTGACTTGCCTCCTTGTACAGGGCAAGTCCTGAGCTTATACTGGATCTACAGCACAAGTAAAGTGACAAGACTTAAAAGACTGTTTAACTGTGCTTCAGAAATGGGTATGGAGGTATCTAGTTATCAAGCTGGAAACATACATATAGTAATGTATTCTTCATCCAGAAGAATGCATAAGATAACTAGATAGCCCACACATTATCCACTTGCATTTTATCAGAGGTGGGGGCAAGGCCACAACAGAGAGAAATCTCATAATGGATAAACATGGGTGAGTCAATTAAGCCAAACTATAACCACAGAGAAATTCTCACTGATACTGAAATTGCTGAGTTGACAAGAAATTTGTATTTTTCTCAACTATGAGATCTGTACAGCACCATTCTTCAACAAAAAGAGAAAACTAAAAGAAAATATGCCTTGTTTCCAAGAAAACAGACCATTGCAGTAGAGCTAGGCAGTATTCACAATATTTCCACAGGCAATGATAGAAGAGACTTATTTTTGCAGACAAGGTTCATGTTTGTATGGGTTACTTATTTTCTTGTTGTTTACTATGTAAATAGTATGAATTGGCATATTGAAAGTCAGATGGGTTTTCTGATAAGTAGCCTCATTTTAGAGGTCTTGATATAAAAATCACAGATCCCACCAGTTTCTACTTGCTGACACTGAGACTTCCTAGTGATAGGCAAAATGGCTTTTCATTCTGTATTTCTCGTTTTCTTAGCTGGCCTGGCATTTTTCTCCGAAGCTGCACCACCGGTAAGTGTCTCAGGATTGAGGTCCTTCATACTGATGTAGTCCCAGCTCTTTTTCTTTATATATATATATATTTTAATTAGTCTAAATGAGAAATAGAATTTTCCATATTATTGCAATTATTTTGATTTTATGGTATATATTGACTATAGTTCTCTCCTCCTGCTCTTTTTCTGGTCCTTCTTTCTCCTCAAGTGATTAGTGAGAGGGCTTTATGGTTAGATAGACAGCACTTGTCATTAGACTCAGTGACCATGTGAAAAACAATGTAAGAGAAGAAAGGAAAAAAATATATTTCCTACACAAAAGCCTCGGGCCTGTTGAAAAATAACTAATAACCCTTATAGCACAACAAACAAGCTCCTGTTGTGAGGGATTTCATTTCCTGTCACAAGATCCCTGCTGAAGAAATGCCTTCTGTAGTCCTCTCCCTTACTGCTCTAACCACAACTCTGTCCCACACAAGCAAGGATCTCAACGCTCGTTGAGGCAAGCAAAGAACAGAGCCAAAGCCAAGATCCCACCACTTCCAGAGGGCTCATTTGTTCCAGCAAAGCAAGCTACAGACACAGGTGCTTCAGCCTGAAATTCTCCTAGAACAGCCTTGTCATCCTCTCTCTCCCTTCTCATTCTTCCCGTCAAGCTCTGATCTTTGGGGAAATGAATACTTGACCAATCTTTGTGAGGAAGCCGACTTTCATTGAGCTCCAAGAGTGTAAAAGCCTGGAAAATAAGTGGTTGCGCTAGAGCCCTCTCCACCTTGTCATTGTCTCAAAAGAAACACTAGCAAAGAGCCTCTGCATTCCAGAAAGGGAGCCTGAGGATTCAGGGTGCACAGGTGGCACAGACACATGCCAATAGGTCGGTCTGATACAGGGCAGGGTAGGAGGGAAGGTAAAAGAGGGCTCTTAGTCTTTAACATCTACATCACGACTCATTTTGCAGTGATTAAATGGAGATCAATGACTGCTGTTTTGAGATCATCTCTGATTAGCTCCTTCCACAAAGCTCTGTTGTCTCACTTTTCACTTACAGAACTAGGTAATGGAAGGTCAAAGCCCTGATCCAACTCTGCCTTTGAAAAGGTAAAACATCAGGGCATAACCATTGCTTGTGGGGAAGAGGTTGGGAGGTAACCACAGCCTTCCCATCTTTGAAGGAAGGTCTTCCTCTCCTATCCCTGCATGGTACCAAGGGCTGACAAATCCACTGTTTGGAGAGAGTCTTTATGTGGTGCTTATCAAGTTTACAACAGAATTCAGATAATTCTACGGCAACAAGACATCAGAGGCTCTCAAATCCAGAAAGCTGTGCTCAAATTGCCACTTCAAAATACAGAGGAAGAGCTGCCAGATTTTTTAACATTCCTACTACCTTTGATGGTTTAATTATTTCCTGTTGAGGACACAATTTAGTTACAGCTTTATGCCGGAGATGATGTGTAGCCAAGCCATGCCAAAGAGAAAACAGAAATGTGTTCTCACACACAGCCATGGTGCCTGCCCTGCACACGTGGCTACGCTCCCCCTGACACCTTCCTCCCCAGTTCCCCCGTACCCAGCCCCCAGAAAGCTTCTGGCTCTATTTCTTCAGTATGCAGTGATCTTGTTGAAGAAAATTTGATATATTCTGTAGATCTAAAGAATAATGTTCCTTACTGCTTTATTATGCACCATTGCTTGCCTTACTTACAACATGAAATTTCTCTCTTCCTACCTGAAGGACTCTGCTGACTCCAAGCATCCTCTTTTTATAAAAATTCTGGATTCAGTCCGAGGAAGTCCAGCTCAAAATGTTCCAGTTAAGTTATATAAAGAAGCTGCAGATGGATCTTGGGAACTGTTAAATTCAAAGTAAGTCATACCAAAATAATGAGTGAAAGAAGGGAAAGGCAATGGGAAGAGACCAAATAATTGAAAAAACATTCTCTAACAGACATGTCTCTTTTACCCAGAGGAAAGATAACATGCTATTGAATGAATTTGCTGCAGACTGTCTTTTAACTGTACTACAGTTTCAACTACCCAAACTGTTTTATAGTACTTTATAATTACTGTGAACACAAGAAAGTATTTTTTATACTATCCTTTAATTCAATCATCACTTCTCTTAAATTTCATTACAAAGGATTGTATTACATTTTAGTACCCAGCAATGAACTGCTGCATTGTTACCAAAAGAATCAGACAGACTCTTTTAATTTGTCTGAAACTAAGACTCTGGTTGAGAATCCTACCTTTATGGGCTGTTTTCCTTCTTTCTAAATGGATTTTCATTTCATACAAAACTACACCTTTAAAAAGAAAACACTGAACGTTTTTGAACATATATCACATCACGATAGCCTTCTTTGCTTCAAGAAGAAAGAATCAGCTAAAAGGAGAAAATTTGGGGAAAAAGCTTTCTTATCTCCTCTCCCACAGAGAAGCAACTACATCTAAAACAATCAAACAAAAACCACCCCAATCTCCCAGGTATTTAAACATTGCCTTGTCTTTTAAAAAAATATAATTATAGAATTTCAAATGTAGATGACTTACGTAGATGAAATTGCACTCAATTTCAGTATATCTTAACACTTTCATAACTCAAAAGCAACTTTTACCTAAAGTATAATCTGAAATGAAATTGAAAAAAAAACATTCTTTATTCAATAAGCAACATCCCGCTTCCATACTTATATCCTCAAGATAATAGATAACTCTCATCTAACACCTTTCCAGGCTTAACAGTCTATTCTACCTTAAAAAACTGAGATAGGGCTCATAAAGGTTAAACTTGGCAGATGGCAGGAATTGCAATAGCAGGATCCCAGACTCAGATACATTTCTGGAACGTCCATGAGAAACTGTATGTAAGTGGCTCTTTGGTGTCGCAGAGCAGTGGGCTGGCAGAAGCAACACTGCTGTCACATGTGTCCTTGAAAAATTGAGCTACGGTGAAGGCCACACATATTTTTACAAGGTGGGGAAGAACACTCTATTCACGTTGTCCTACTTGAATTGCCTCCCACCATACAAGTAAGAAGATAGCTTCACACATATTCTGTCACTGGAAATGCGTGAAATTTTCCATTACGAGGGTGTTCAGTTTACTTATCTTCAAATTTGATCTTAGAGGCTTTATGTAAAGATACTCAGCTGAACAGCTACGTGTTGACTGAAGCCTTAAAAAAATACTCTGCATTTGGTACAAAGAACAAAGTGTCCTTAAGATGAGGTATGCAACAGTCATGATAATACTAAATCAACCTCTACAGCCTTGTTAATTTTTAAAAAAATTAATGTTAGCAAGAAATTCTGAAATAACTGAAATAACTGAATAATATTTATTCCCAGTAAATATATGTTTGGTTTTAGCTGAGAAAGTTTTTCCCAGTCAATATATGTTTGGTTTTAGCTGAGAAAGTTTACTAGTGCAATGAACAATTATCTAACAATGATTAATCTCAGAGAAAGAAAAAATAGAAACATTTGAATGGATAAAAAAAAAAAAAAAAAACAAAAAAACCCAAAAAAAACCCCAAAAAACCCCAAAACTGGTCACTGAATACAGAGCATCTTGTAAGACCTAACAGGTTGCCAAGATGGTAACTGAATACAGAGCATCTTGTAAGACCTAACAGGTTGCCAAGAGAAGTTGTGGATGCCCCATCCTGGAAGTGTTCAAGGCCAGGCTGGATGGGGCTTGGAGCAACCTGGTCTGGTGGGAGGTGTCCCTGCCCATGGCAGGGGGGTTGGAACTCCATGATCTTTAAGGTCCCTTCCAACTCTGACCATTCTATGATTCTAAGATTCAAATGGTGTTCTACGACTTCATAGACCTAAGCTATATTAAAGCATAAATCCTAAGCAGTGTACATAATGGCAATGACATAAAAAACATTCAAGTATTTATTTTTCTCTGCATACAATTTGAATAAAATATGTTCAGAAAAAGATTTGGCAGGTAGAACACTGAAGAGTGGTTTGTGACTTCTAAAATCAGGCACTAGCAGCATTGTTATTTGCAGATAACTGACCCAATCAAAACCCTAGCATTATATAAGTTATTTCACAGAAATAGGTCTCATCCAAGAGACGTGTCTGAGAGACAGCATTCAGTATTGGTTCTGGAGCCCTAAATTGGTTGGTGATCAAAGGTCTACAGTTTCAAGTCAGTACTATGGCCTCGGAGAGCACTGATAGCATCTCCAAATCAAACAAAACCATCTGTTTGTCAAGGCTGGAAAAACCAACTAATCAATACAGACACCGGGGAATTCCACAGGCTACACTGTTGGCTGACCGACCGCCACTTCAAATAGCAGATCTCAAATTTCAGATAGCCAACTGTAAAAAATATTCATACTGACAAAACAACTCAATGCATTCAAATAAGTAAGAAAACTATGGAAAAATCAAGAGAGTTGACCCTGTTTACTTGCACAGTAAGTGCACCATAGAGCTTCCACATTGCTTGAAGCAGTGGTGAACTTTTCCCTCTGACTGAGTTCATTTAATTAACTCCAAGACTCTGCCAAGAGTCTATGAGCAACAATGCCAGCTTTTGGCACACCCCCAGACCATGCAGAGTAGTGACATGGCAGGCAGCCATCTGCTGTGGTGATCGTGGAAGTAGCAAATGCCAAGATAAGCTCTGAAGCATCCATAATACAGATGGACATAAGCCATTCCAGCTCAATAGAAGTATTCATCATATTACTTAAGCTACACAACATCACTCAAGTTCAATTGCTAAGAACTGCATTTTTCTCAGGCTTTTAACCAAAACATAAAAGTGCATTCTTCTGCCATCACACAGACAAACCAATGACAATGGAGAGTTCCACGAGCTCACAACTAGAGAACAATTCATCACAGGGACATACAAGATTGAGCTTGACACAGCCTCGTACTGGAAGAAACTGGGCTTGAATCCCTTCCATCACCATGCTGATGTGAGTATTCATTTTCTCCTGTACTTTAGCTGCAAAGAGTAAAGATGCTTTATATGTCTGGGCTTCAGTTAGTAATTGAACGTTTTGAACTTTCTTTTAACTTGAAAATCTTTTCACATTAACACTTTAAATCCACAGTCTCAAATCTTTGTAACAACATACTAATAAGAGAACCCAGTCGCCAGCTTCCCCATAACTCTCACTAAGCCCTTAGATGCAGGTTTTCCATCCTTCTACCTCTGCTTAAGCCTGTGATTCTTTCTGTGACTATTTCTAGTCACCTGAGGGAGAACAGGTGGAGCACTCTGTCAAGTCTCCTGGGAAAAGGATTTTTCTGCCTTTTGGATCCAGTATTTGTATGGCTGCAGACAAAGTTTATCATCACATCTTAAAAATGCGAATGATAATGGAAGTATGAACTGCTTGGATCCTCAGTTTACAACAGAAAAAGTGTAGAGCAGCCATTTTGGTTTGCATGAGAAAGCCAAACTGGTTAGACGATGTGGTCCAAACTACCTACCAACTGAGGTCAGCTGCAAGGTTTGGGACTCCTTGGGGGCTGTCCCCCTCCCCTCTGCAGCACCAGCCCTTTCACACAAGCTTCTAGTAGCAGCAGAAGTCCTGTAGCTGTTGTCTAGACCATCACAGATCACCACCAGCTGTACAGTTTGCAACTGCTGCTCAAACAGCCAGTCCTCATCTCCTTGGAAAAAAGACGGCCAAGACCTGGGTTAAATTTTTTCTGCATCCCTGAAATTGATGACATCCTTATGCTAGACATTAATGAAGGTTAATGCTGGATAGTCTGGCCTTCCGTGAATAACTGAAATAACAGTGGTTAAGATGAAAGATCTACAGATGTTCAAGGCCAGGCTGGGTGAGGCTTTGAGCAATGTGATCTAGTAGGAGGTGTCCCTGCCCATGGCAGGGGACTGGAACTGGATGATCTTTAAGGTCCCTTCCAACACAAACCATTTTATGATTATACAGAATTAAACATTATTCTTTATGTATCCCAAACCAGAAATTAATTCAATCCAGAGTGCAAGAGACTCCTTTCTTAAAAATAAGCTTCAGTAGGGTTCATGTTTTGCTCGGGTCACTGGCTATTTCACATGCATCTTTTTTATTAATGTTGAAAGGAACACAAGCTGGACATCACAGAATGTTATTAAACTGGCTATTTTAAAAGTTGACACCCACTATCTCACAACACAAAATAATCTCCTATGTAGAGGGAGAAATCAAAAGACGGGACATGAGCTGATGGGGGAGATGTTAAAAGGGGTGTGGTAAATGATACATACATAAGGTTGTATCACTTTGTGGCCAAAGGACTAATGCAGTCCTCTATTATCCTACTTACATATCTAGTAGAAAGAAACACATTGCTTCATATTTTGCTCTGATGATAGTTACTGTAGCACTATGTTTAATTCTGTTGCTCAAAGTTCAGGACTTAGTAAGAGCAACAAAAACATTCAAAAGAAATAATTTTATTTATTTTTTTTTTAAATGAAGACAAATCAAAGGGGTTCAGTGAACCTTCACTAAGGAAAACAAATCTTGTTGCCATTTATGAGTACCAAGAAGGAAACCTCAAATTGTATAATAAATTTATTTTATAGAATTTTAAATAATATAATCTACATGCACCCTTTAACAAAGGATACTTAAACACTGGAAAAACTGTGTGTGACAGGCAGTCATAGATCACACTGATCAAATCACCACAAGAGAAGATATCTCTAAAGTTAGATAAAATTATTACAATTATTATCTAGGTTCATTTCTAGATATCATTTCTCATTTTTGTTGTATTTTTTTTCCTCAGGTGGTTTTCACAGCTAATGACGCTGGTTATCGACATTACACCATTGCTGTTGTCCTTCCCCAGGTGGTTTTCACAGCTAATGACGCCGGTTATCGACATTACACCATTGCTGTTGTCCTCAGCCCCTTTTCTTACTCAACTACAGCAGTAGTGAGTGAGCCAGTGGAATAGAAGCTAAAATTAAGCATGAAAATTTAGATGTATAAATTAAAATTTCCATAAATGATAAGAACTTAGTTTCTGACTATATCAACAGCTTTAGATTTCATAGTAAACCACTAACAGTAACAGTCAAGTTGTTTATTCATTTTGTTAACTTTAGGAAGAATGTGTTGACTTTGTTTTCAAATACTCCTCTGAATAAAAGTATTCTGTATTTCTGTATTCTGTATTGTTCTTCTGAATAAAAGTTTAGGGTTTGAAAAAACACATTACGCTTAGAAAAAATGCCTTGAACCTCCATTACTGGGATTCTGAGAATAAACCAAAGTCTTCCGTGCAGTTAGTAAATTACATTCTTTCTTGCAAAGAAAGCAAACAAACACATCTGAAAGGTGTCTCATGAAAAGTAAGCCTACAGGAAACACCATCCACCACCTACCATCATCTAAACTTTATTGCTGAAGCCCACAACAGATGAAGTCACATGGGACTGCTACCCAGGGCCCCACATAATCATCAAATAAAAATCAGGTTTGGGAGGTGAGTTTAAGATATAAAGCAAAAGCGTCTTAGAAGTGACTGCAAGGCAGAACAGCATTTAAGGATCCTCCACGTGCTTAAAATGCCTGCTTTCCAATATATTATACCTGGTGACACTATCAAGGAGAGTCCATATCCAGTGTTGTAGAAAAGTATATTCATTAAACATATTTGAAGTTTATTCATGTATTTTCACAAAATTCTGCAAATAACTTTGTCCCCAGTTGAAGTACTCCCAAAAATTACTCGCATATAGATATTGCAAAAGTGTTCAATGGTTAGAGGTACGATACAAAGAAAAATAAGGATAACTGATGTTTCCTGAGAAAACTAGCTCCCTATTTAATGCCAGAAGAAATACAGATGAATCCTTCCATTTCCCATTCTTGTAATCCATATATATAAGGAAGACTACTCCTAAACAGAAATAAGCACAGAGCTATCAGGAGATTCAACAGAATAGCAACCCTATTTTGGAAAAGTACAGAAAACCGTTGAGTCATTTAGTCTAATAAAGCCAAATGCTGAAAGCATATAAATACCAATAAAGGAACAATGATTTGTTAGCCTAAGGCTTGCTCCCATCACAGCCTAATCTGATGTATTTGCTGGCCAGGTTTCCCTGCCTTTTGTTGGTACTTCAAGGAACTGAGCACCAGAAAAATGAGAATTTTGTCTGCAACCAAAACACAAAGAAGATATGTTCTCCATAGAACCTCAGAATAAACAAACCAACACAATCTTTAGAACATTATATTTCATAAAAGACAATGATAAAAAAGTACAAACATTTTCATGAACAACAGTAACCCAAAACTATGATAGTACACAGGAAATTCCCAGCATTTGTTTCAGTGCATTTTTCATTAAGCCTGTCTTACATACCTCTACAAATAAAATAATCTTAAGTACACTTCCTCTTGCTGATACGCAATGGATCTTTTTAACATTTTTAAATAACTGGCTCATTAGTAACCCACTACAACACAGTCATTAGTAAACATAACGATAGAAAAATAGACTGGCAAGATCCAAGAAAAAGGACATGTTGCACTTGCTTTTCAATATACTATCTCTTGTAAAATGGATTTTGTATTTTATGCTCTCCTACTTAAACTTGAAATACAGCAAATGGGCTTAAGAGTATCTTAGCATATCAGCCAGACTCCACTGTTAATATTCTGTAATGTTTTTACTTGTTAATTTGCAAGACCTTCAGAATCTTGTAAAATACTCCATTTCTTCTCCCTCCGTGTTAACTCCTTGAAGAGAAGTCATCCTCAATTTGCCTTGTCAGCAATGCAAAAGCCAATGTGATTGGCATCTCTCTACATTTTACAAGAATCATGAAAATATCAAAAGGAATGTGCACAACTCTTAGTTCTGCATCGCATTTATTTTGCTTGAAGGCACTGTCTATGTTAAAATCCACTACAGAGTAGTACTGAGTTCAAGCAGGTAGTATACAAACACTAGTTTTGATGTAATTTAAGATGGCAACTTTTAAAACTTCCCAACAAAGCAATATAAGGTATTTGGAGAAGAGTGTTGGTTAACAACTCATAATTTAACATCCATCACTTTGGGGCACCAAAATGTAAACTTTTTAAGAACTCAGCTATATGTCATAATCCATTCACATACTGGTTTAAATCACATTTTTTTTAAGACCATACATGATTAGTCACTTAGAGCTGTAAAGTTATATTAGTTCAGCCACAGCATATGTGTAATATAGTATGCATATATGTATGTATATATATATACATATATATGCATTAGAATTTTTTAAAATTGCACATTAATTTCACAGGATGCCTAACCAATGGGCACAAAAGCATGCTTCAGAAAACAGTACAGACCTACAATACCAAAGGATGTTTCATAATCATAGGTGTTAAATTGTAGGTGAACTTGTACTGAAAACCAGAAATCACTTCAAAATTACACCCGGGATTTAAAAATTTACTCCACAGTTCTTAAAGAATTGTATTAGTCTGTTATGAAATAAGACTAACTTTATTTTGAAGATATAATTGTTCGTACAGTATATTAATTATCCCCCCTTTATCCATATGCGTCAGAATATTCTATACACTCAGTTATAGAAAAATATATCAGGAGGTGATCAAGCCACTTAAGCATGCTTTTGAAGGATGTTTTGTTCACTTTATGCTCATTTTTTGTTATTTTCATTGCATTAAGTCATTCCTAAAGCATATTAGCTTACCCGGTAGACTTTAAGGTAATTCCAGTACAGTTTAAAATATCCATTACTATTGTTCTGAACTACTTAAATAAAATCATTACATTTCTACTAAATATTTGGAATATCTATAACTAAGCTCATAACTTTACTGAAGAATGGCTAAGGGCAAAATTTGCTGCTGGGATGACAAAGAAAGAAAAGATGTTTATGGCAAACAAACTCAAATATACAAAGCACCACACCATCTGTGGCAGCAACTCAGGAAACCAACACACAGTAATGAGTTAAAGTTAGTTTTCTTTGTCAACACTCTTACAGAACACTCTATGGATAAACAATCCTTATTATATACTGCTTTCCATTCTTCATGGGAGCAGAAGTCAGTCTTTGGTTCCTAAAGAGTTGAGTAATTGTGACGAACAAAACAGTTTAGTAGATCTTGGTCAACACATTTGTATTAACATAGAAAATAAACGATCCGGTCCTTTTCCTTAGTATTAACAACGAGTGTAAAAAAATATCAGGGAAAGAGAATAACGCTCAGCAGTGGGATACTTTTAGGTAGCATAACATTACAAGCAAACAGAAAATAAGAAGATATGCGTTTCATAATAAGCCAAGTAAAGAGGCTAGTTACTCATACATAGAACACCACAAAAATAGAGAAACAGACAGGACCAATCCTTAGCGGGACTGCACAACCTCAATCTCATCGAAAGTCATCGACTTGAGGATACTTAGTGCATCATAGAAGCACTCAGCACTCTATCAGAACAGGCCCTTAAATAGCTATATTGATTAATATATTATGAGTGGAATTTTAAAAAGCACTCGGGATTGGTCTGCTTTCAGTTCCGCTTATGTCATCATCATCATCATCATCATCAGCGGAACAGTTTGACCAACACCGTGGTTCTGAAAATCCCACACTGCAAGCATTAGAACTATTAGAACTATGTTTTATTATTTTCTTAAAAATCTAACTTTAATATTCTTCCAATGAAGACACATTTTTGGCTCTTCTGATTTTGGAGGAATAAAAGTGCTGTTTACTAGAATTTTTTTTTTAAAAAAAGAACAATACCAAAATACTGTACGCACCCAGACACATTGTTTTAGGCATTGAAATCCCTGACATCGACACTAGTGGCACACTTGGAAACAGTTAGAGTTCCTGTAGATCATAATACGCAACAACTGCAAGATTTTTCCATAATACACATGCAATATGCATATAAATAGGATTTAGATGGCAGGCAGGGTATCATACAATTGTGCTGGCAATAAATAAAATTAAAAGCTTTCTTTGTAGCAAGTTCATATATGAAATTGATTCTTCTATATAGATATGCAGGAGGCCTAGAGCTCAAAACTAGTATAACAGTTTACAGTCATAGCTGGCCAACAATTAATATTTCCTTCATTTCACCTAAGGTATAACCTTTTTTTAAGCATACTTACATTTTACACTTGCTTTTTCATGCTAATAAAAACATTCCTATAGAATTCAAACAAGAACACACTCAAATACATACTGAAGCATAAAATATTGAGCAATTTAAAAGCAATGTACACACATTAATTTACATCACATATTTACAAAACACATTTTAAAAAGAAACAAAAGCATTCATTTAAATATGAGAGGGGGAGGGGCAGTTTAGTATAAAAAATTCCTGGAAGAAAAGGTCTCTGCCCCTACTTCCAGAGAAGCTACAAGTCTGTTTTCTGCAGTTTATTTAGCTGAGTGGTTAAGATAGAGAATATGAAGAATGAAGGCTTGAACAGTAGTCTCATGCTGTAAACATCTGAGTGGTAGCTGCTGGCTTTTCTTTCAGAACGAAATGCATGGTACACACAATCACTTTACTTCTCATCCCAAATATGCATCATCAAATGGTCAAAAATCTCTAATTTTAAGCTGCTGTTTGTTGGTTTTATTTTACAGTGTCTATTAGTAGCTTCCAGTGTTAAAAGTTTATTCTGGTAGGGTAGCTTGTCATTCCACTTCCATCAATAGTCTCTAACAGGAGCAAGTTCTGGTATGAGATTAACAGTTATGTTTTTATACAATCTACTGACAAGTATTTTAGGAACATATATTAAGTTGTTCAACCCATCAATATACTGACGTTCTCTGGAATACCTCAGAAGTTTATATCTGCAGAGGGAGTTGGAAGAAGAAAACATGAGAAAGATTTGCAAGACAATTCATTTGATGTTAGACATAATACTGTAACAGTCATTAAAATACCTCTCAGCCCTTTGAAATTACCAAATTACGTACCTAAGATTTAAAAGCAAGTCACTTTTTTTTTTTAATACACTTAGATTTTTCTGGTCACGTATACAAGTTAACATTAAGACTAAATAACAAAAAAGGTATTCAATATGTATATTCGTATGGTCCCAAACTAATTTGATTTTTAAAAAACATGCAACTCCTTTGTGCTCTTTTGTTATAAAACTCAAT